GGGGGAGTCCAAAGTTATACATAGATTTTCAACTGTATCAGTGTCAGTGTCCTTAATGCCTGTGTTGTTCAAGGGTCAGCTGTGCAAATGGTTATTAATACAGTGATCTTTAGCTCACCCTGTAACAGGCGTCAGGTTGGTAACCCCCACCATAGCCAGGATGGTGTCATTCCTCTACCCTACACCAAACCACCCCCGCCCAAGCTGTTCACGGATCATCCAGAGCACAAACAGGTATCGTTTTTTTTTTTAAGATTTTATTTATTTGACAGAGAGAGACAGCGAGTGAGGGAACACAAGCAGGGGGAGTGGGAGAGGGAGAAGCAGGCTTCCCGCAGAGCAGGGAGCATGATGCGCGGCTTGATCCCAGGACCCTGAGATCATGACCTGAGCCAAAGGCAGTCACTTAACCAACTGAGCCACCCAGGCACCCCCAAACAGGTATCCTTAGTGTTCCCTTTTCTCTGCTCCACCCCAAGCGTGAAAAGATTAACAGTCACAGAGTGCTTGGGGTGCAGAGTGGAGATACAGGCATATCATGACCCAAAAGATGAAACACCGGGGAGAAAGAAGTCTACTGAACTTTACACAATCCCAAACCACAGCAAAAAGGTTTTGGGAGGGGCTTCCTGTAGGCCCGAGAGGGGAAATGTAGGCCGTGGGGACTTGAATCAGAGACTGGTTCTGGTAAGTAACTTCAGCACAAAAACCACTCCCCCGACAAATTCTGTCAGTAAATTCTTTTTTTTTTTTTTAAAGATTATTTATTTATTTATTTGAGAGAGAGAGAATGAGATGAGAACACATGAGAGGGGATAGGGTCAGAGGGCAAAGCAGACTCCCTGCCGAGCAGGGAGCCCGATGCGGGACTCGATCCTGGGACTCCAGGATCATGACCTGAGCCAAAGGCAGTCGCTTAACCAACTGAGCCACCCAGGCGCCCTCTGTCAGTAAATTCTTGACAGCTGGAGTTGAGGTACCAACTTCTCTTCAGTTCCTCTCTGCTCCCCAAATCACCTAAACCCAGAGATACTCTCTTGCCCACTCTTTATATGGAATGTGACAATGCTGATTATTGATTTACATAAGAAATACTCGCTCACGGGGCGTCTGGGTGTCTCAGTTGGTTGGGCTGCCTACTCTTGATGGTGGACTCTTGATTTCGGCTCAGGTCATGATCTCAGCGTTGTGGATTGAGCCCCGTGTGTGTCTGTGTCGGGCTCCATGCTCAGTGGGGAGTCTGCCTGGGGATTCTCTCTCTCCCTCTCCCTCTGCCCCTTCCCTCCACTCGAGTTCTCTCTCTCTCTCAAATAAAATCTTTAAAAAAAAGAAAAGAAAAGAAATATTCCTTCATGATGAGCACCAGGTGATATATGGAAGTGTTGAATCGCTATACTCTATACCCAAACTAATATAACACTGTATGTTAACTAAGTGGAATTAAAATAAAAACTTAAAAAAAAAAGAAAAGGAACTACTCCCTCTGCATTCATCTACCTACCTCTGTGTATGTTCTTTCTGTCTGTTCCCACCTAGGTCATCTTAGATGTAAACCCTGGACCTGTTTAACCTGCTCTCTCTATTGGCACTATGCATCAAGTCCAGCACAGACATTTCATTAAGGCTGTGGATAGCAAACAATAAAAAGCCATAAACCCTGTCCCCTGGAAAACATCTCCCTTCAACCTCCTAGCTCCCCTCTCCCCCTTACTCAGGGTAAGAAAAGGGGAGAAATTAGACTTGTCAGAAATCTTGTCTTTTCTCCAGCTCCCTCCTAACCTGACACCATGCTTCCTTCTTGTAAAGTGGCAGCAGTTCAGGGCTAGGTTAAGGCCTGGGAGATGAAGCTGAAAGACAGAAAAGTTATCAAAAGAAGCCTGGTCACCCCAATTGATCCTCTTTCTGCTTCAAATATAACTTATGCTAGTTGTGTCTCATTTACATGTTGTTAATTTAGAATCAGACTAGCAAAAATTGCCTGAGCACCTTACTTTTTTTTTTTTTTTTTTTGGTCTCTCATCTCCTTTTCCCCTCCCCTCCCAAATGACAGTTAGGCTGAGCCTTGGAAGCAGAAATCAGAGCCTGAGAAAGTTAAAAGAGCCTGGAGAAAAGCAGCATTCATTTCTTATCTTTTGTGTCCAATGCTAGAAATGATCAATAATTCAGTGGGGGTTGGGTGGTTAGCTGGCGAGGGGGATGAGCCAAAAGGAACCGGAGGGTTTCTGGAAACCGGAGGGAGCTGGGTCTCGGAGAAACTGGGCAAAGCTAAGTGGGCTGAGTCTTAAGAGATGGAATGAAGATAGCCACTCTACAAGGTGCACTCCTGGAGGGGTGGGCACCAGTATGTCCGAGCAGGAAAGGATGAGGGGGAGGCACTCAAACAAATCAGGATTTCATTCTTTTCCTCTTCTTTTCTCAAGTCCCACGCATTCTCTCTTGCTGGAATTATCCTCTGGTGGTGGGTGAGGGAGGTAAAATAGCCCTGGCCCCTCCCTCGCGGTGGCAGTAAATAGCCAGAAGTTGGAAGAAGCAGATAAAATGGGCGGGTAGCTTCAGTAACACACGCACACCCTCAGGAACTTTCCCACTGCCATCTCCTTCTCAGTCTGACCCAAATCTTCATGCAACTACTGGTTTAAAATTTTGCCCCCAAAGGGGCGCCTGGGTGGCTCAGTCCTTAAGCGTCTGCCTTCGGCTCAGGTCATGATCCCAGGGTCCTGGGATCGAGCCCCACATCGAGCCCCACATCGAGCCCCACATCGAGCCCCACATCGAGCCCCACATCGGGCTCCCTGCTCCGCGGGAACCTGCTTCTCCCTCTCCCACTCCCCCTGCTTGTGTTCCCTCTCTCGCTGCGTCTCTCTCTGTCAAATAAATAAATAAAATCTTTAAAAAAAAAAAAAAGAGAGAGAAAATTTTGCCCCCAAATAAGTCAATCACCTCTACCATGCCCTGTCTATTTGCTTGCAAGTGAGAGGGGGAAGTTTTCCTTACACGAAGGAAATGCAGAGACCAAGCTCATCCCTTTTACATATCCCTCCTGCCTTAGCTCCTCTCAAAATCCAGACTTGTAGAGACCAGAAGTGGAGGGACATTTCATGTCACCTCCCCAGAGCTGCAGAGGAAAATGAGAACTGGGCGGGGGGCGGGGGTGGGGGTAAAGGAAACGGTTAAAACAAAGTTTTTACCTTAAAGAAGTGGGTGCTGCTCCAGGATAGAGGAGGAGGGTCCAGCAGTGGCAATTCGATGAGGAAGGTGGCTACAAGGAGGGGCGCTGCCACAGTCCCAGCTGCCTTCCAGCTGTCAAGGCCAGAGCTGATCCAGGTCTACACAGGTTTATGAGCGCCTGTCCCGGCTTGGCGGTGGCCACTTCCGGACTCACGCCCACGACTGAGGTCACCAGAGGAGGGTGGGGGGCAGGCAGGAGTGCAGCCCAGGTGCTCCCAGGTCGCTCAGAGCGTCTTCAGGATTCCTGAGTTGCCGAGTCTAGGGCGTGCGCTCCAGGCCCTGACTACAAGCTGGTTTTCAAAGGAAGTTTGTGGTTTTTCTTTTTTCTTTCTCTCTCTTTTTTCCCATCGGGACAAAGAAAAATTAGTCAAGGACAAGCTCCCTGGAGGAGGAGGGGCTTGCCCAGCACTGGAGAATTTCCATCAGGGCTTTCTGACCTGGTCAGCAGCTTGGTGATCAGCAGTGAGAGAGAGAGAGAAACAAGGAGAGAAAAACAACAGACCCTTTCTCTTCCCTCCGCCTGCTGCTGGAAGGGACGGAGCGCTTGTGCCTCTCTGGTGAGAATAGGGAAGAGCAAGTGCCCTTGCTGATGGTGGGGAGGAGCAAGGCTGGACAGCAGCGGCTGGTTGGATTTGGGCTTTCTCAGTGGGTTTGGCAGGCCTTTGCTCTGAATCCACAGAAGCAGGGCCAAAGAGCATGATATTTGCATATTTACTCATTTAAAGTTAAAAAAATCCTGCTACTTTCCAAGCCCTTACTGTATCTTTGTGTGTGTGTGTGTGTGTGTGTCTAGAAATGGAACTGGTTGGGCAGAAGGTGTGGAAGACTCCCTAGGCTCTGGGAAGAGAGGCAGCAGGGAGAGAACTAGCTGAGCAAGCAGGAGATCCAATACCCCTGTGCTCCGGTCCTTGCTCCCAGCACAGTCCTCAGCTTCTCATGGGTCACCTCCTTTCAATTCTTGGGGGGGCCAGGAAGAGGGGGGAGCAGGAAAAGCTGGCAGTAAGAAATAAAGGGTTGGATCAATAAAGGAGGAGGCATTTGATGATGAGAGTACACTTATTTGCAGTACTCTGCATTACCGTGGGGCTGGAAGGCAGCAGTTAAGGGAGGTTGGAACCCAGCTCTACATTCTGAAGGGCCCTCCTAACTTGACTTACAGGGCTGCCGCAGGATGAAACTTCAAGCAACTCTGAAGGCTGAAAGGGCAGTTTGAACAATTAGGGAGGCAGGGAGCAAAAAACCCAGGTTACAACAGTCCAGAAAAAGGAAGAGTCATTTGCTGAGGCTGTAGACAAACAGGCTACTACTGAATTGTAAAGGAAGTAGCAGCAGGAATTGGCAAGAGACCGTAGGTATTAAGAAGAGGAGTCAGAAGATTATTTTAATGTTTTTATAACATGGACAGCAGAAAATTGGCGGCAATGGGTCAGTTTGGTAAAGGGGAGAATCCGAGAAAGGAAGACTGTTTTTGCTTTTGTAATTTAAGATGTCAACCCCAGATGCTCGGTGTAATATATGGAAAGATGCTATACTTAGCCTGACTCGAAAGGGAAAGTTTAGATGCCACAAACATAGGTTACTGTGACACATATACATTTCCCTGTCAAATGAGTAATCTCGGAAAATTCTCTTTCCCTCCATTCTTGGGGCCATTTCGGAGCTCCTAGACTACGTTTCCCAGGACGCCCTGCGCCACGCCCCGCTTCGCGCCTCTGGGAAGGGGGTCCCGTGAGTCTCTGGGCGCGGAGCTCCGCCTCCGCCGCTGGGGGCGGGGCGACGTCGGACTCCAGGAGCGCCGGATTACGCACTTCCTGCGGGGGTTGGGGCCGAATCGCTGTGTGGCGGGTTCGAGTCCCGCCTCCTGACTTTCGCCCCTAGCCCCTGAGTCCCGGGCGGGGCGCATTCTTCTGGTATCCTCTCCACGGACAGGGGCGGTGGCACACCTGGGACTTCACCATGGAGGACTACCTGCAGGGTTGTCGAGCCGCTCTGCAGGTAACGAATCCCGGTCTGTGATCGTAAGGAATGAAGCATGAGGTCCAGAAAGAACGAAGATGTGGGATCTGGGGAGCCCCGACGGTGTGGGGAGGGAACACGGAATTGTGGGGAGGGGGCTTGGGATCGGATCAAGCTTGGGGCCGGGGGGAGTGAGGAACGAGAACCTAGCTCTGGGGAATGCTGCTCCGTCTCCCGGGTTTTGGCTGCTGCCTTTGGGGTCTCCCCAAGAACAGCGAGGAGGAATCGTGGATGTGGGACCTGCATCTGAGCCTCTGCTCACTGTCGCCTGTGTCAGTTCCGTCAAAAGGTGGAGCGGCTGTGCCGTCGGCTGTAGTGCCGCGCGAGGTGTATTTATCCTTTTCTCCCCGCCCCTCTTTCAGTTCACCACTCACCCGGCCTCCTTGGCCCATTGGCCTCCCGGTGAGCCCCGGAGGTGCGAGAGAACCTGGGCCCACGGCCTTACTGCTTTAGAAGAGCTGTTTCTGTCTGGCGTGTGGAACTCATTCTAGATTAGAGAATCATGTTTTACTTTTTTTTTTTTTTTTTTGAGATTTTATTTATGTATTTGAGGGAAAGAGCATGAGAGGGGAGAGGGTCAGAGGGAGAAGCAGGCTTCCCGCTGAGCCAGGAGCCCGATGTGGGACTCGATCCCAGGACTCTGGGATCATGACCTGAGCCGAAGGCAGTCGCTTAACCGACTGAGCCACCCAGGCGCCCTAATCATAACTTTAAATCTGTTCTTAAGCTAAACGTGCTCAATACTATAGGCATATGTGTTGTTGACCCAAAACTTGCATTCCTTTGCCTCCAGTTTTCTTCTGTGGCCTTAACGCACATAAATTACGTAAGAATCCCCCGCCTGGAAGGGATAAGCCCAAAGTGTGTTTGGAATGAAAACTATAAGCTTGACTTACTTTTGGTACTTACTGTGGCGTATTTTTGGTACTCTGAGCTAGTTGGAATCTCCCAGCCATGCGGACTGGTCAGGCAGCATTTCATTTGGCTGCTATTCCCAGTTAGCAGAGAGGCTCTAGGAGGTCACCTGGCCCCCCCCACTTCAAGTTACACTGCCCATGTGGAGACCTAGACGGATGGTTGACTATGCTTTCCTTTCTAAGTGTCTTAAACTCTGCAAATTCCCCTGGCCGATAAATTCCGGTCTTTAACAAATCCTAAAAGTCACCTAATTTACTTCTGTGGACTCGGCTGCTTCAGCATAGGGGTGAAGGACAATTTTAATATTACCAATTGCACCAAATTTTTCCTTCTGAAATACAGGTTTGGGGAAAGTTGATATAATGCATAGGGCAATTTGGAACCATTTCGTTTGGTTACCTCTGATTTCCACCACTGAGAGCTCATTGGAGGACCAATGTAGAATCTTTGTGGCACTGTTCTGAGTGCTAAGCAGTGGAATTTTTTTCCCCATAATAACCCAAATGAGGGGTCTCCTTTCCACCATTTGGTAAAGAGCCCTTGGACCCGAAACCTCACCAAATAGCCTTTCATTGCATGCATCTATCTTTCAGCATCTATGCTTTAGAGTCCCCCCAGGTTAACAGCATATCTCCTACAGCAGTATGAAGCTGAAAAATACTGGGTTTTTCCGGTATTGCTGGTATCCTGACCTTTTTTTGCCTGCATTCATCTCCTAAGGAGCAAGATCTAGATCTTTCTTTTTCTGAACTTGTGAAGGTGAGGTTGTGTCTTAGAGTTCTTCTTATCACACAGCCTAGCCAGGGCTGGGAGAAATGAGAAAACCGGACTCTAGGAATGTTAGTGGAGGAACTGGTGGCAGGACGTACAGGTGGTGGCCAACAACTTAGATAGCTTTTAATTATAGAAGTGGTAAATGCACACAGTGAAAAAACCTAAATACAAAGAAGATATGAAATGAAAAAGAACAAGATCTTTTCTTCGTCTCCTCATCCCGTTCCCCAGAGGCCGCACTGTTGTTTCGTGTGTAAAGAAAGACATGATTTAGACAGATTCTGTTAAGTTTGAGTGTTTCTGTTAAGCTATGTTAACTTTTCGGGAAATGTGGATGCTTGACTTTTACACAGGATAGAGACAGCTTATAACCAGCCAACTCTCCTGTTGATACCAGATTTTTTTCTCTGGCATCTGATACCAGAGACATTTTCTGCAGCCTCTGCCACAACGATAGTAGGATGTTCCATTTAAAAGAAATCCTGGGTCGCCTGGGTGGCTCAGTCGTTAAGCGTCTGCCTTCGGCTCAGGTCATGATCCCAGGGTCCTGGGATCGAGCCCCGCATCAGGCTCCCTGCTCAGCAGGAAGCCTGCTTCTTCCTCTCCCACTCCCCCTGCTTGTGTTCCCTCTCTCACTGTGTCTCTGTCTGTCAAATAAATAAAATCTTTAAAAAAAAAAAAGAAAGAAAGAAATCCTGTTTAACTAAATGTCCTATTCATGGTGACTCATCTTTCACTACTAGTGGGGAAAAACCTTTGCTTCAGGGTGGAGCCGCGTTCAAGTGTAGGTATTCATCCAGCAGCCTTCAGATAATCCGCGTTGTCTGCACTGCTCATTGCGGAAGGCAGGAATCGGGAGTGGCTGGCTATCCTGAAGACACCATAGTCCTTTCGTCAGTATCGGTACCATTTTCTCTGCTGGGAGGGCTTCTCTATCTCTGGCTCCCTGTCTCCTTTTTTTCCTCCCTCATTAACTATTTTGTAGAGGAGGCGCCAGACCATATTCAGCTTCAGAAGGCTGGTAGTTGCTTTTGCCAGCCCTAGAGCCCATCCTCACTCCCCGCATTGAGGTCACAAAGAGCATCAGGATCTAGTCATTGTGACTAGTGGGTTTGGGTGGTTTTTTTTGTTTATTGGTTTCTTTGTTAGGAAGAAAAGTTTATATTTACTTGGGGCTCTCAGATTGTATTTCTTCCATTGGCAGCTCAGGTTTCCTCATGCTCTAAGTATAGCTGTATCTGCCCTCATCCTTTCCTCTGATGGTCAGAAAAGCGAGATTATTTCGCTTGTGCTCTCAGCTGGTGGAGGATGCGGTGGGGTGGGGGTTAAGAGTTACACGTTTTTCCTAAATGAAGAGAAGGGTGCCTTATAAGTCGGGCAGCCCAGGACAGTTTTAGTTTATTCGCACATAACCATTTATTGCATCCCTTTTCATTCTCAAAGTGTCCCTGTTTGAACAACAGAATGTTTAGTCGCCGAAGTCATAAACTATGTTCAAGATTAAGATACATGCCCACGAAAAGATAGCGAGTTCCTTAAGGTAGGAGTTCCATATGAGTGCTGGCAGCTGGAGGTCTGGAGGAGGAGGATTGCTGTGGTCTGGGTGGAAAGGGAAGGCGACACAGAGACAGGGGCTTTAGGTGGCATGAATGGATGGGTAGAGAAAGAAGGGTAGAGAAAGAAGATGGAAGGCAGCTCATCTTTCTAACCACCGAGTAGGCACTTACAGGCTATCTCATTTAATCCTCATAACAACTTCATGAAACTGGTTACAGTATTATCATTTTTAAAACCAAAAATGAAGCTTAGAGAGGCCCAAGTCCCACAACAAGTAAGAAGCAGAGCTGGGGGTGGGGGGTGTGCCTGGGTGGCTCCAACCGTTGGGCGTCTGCTCAGGTCATGATTCCCAGGGTCCTGGGATTGAGTCCCACATCGGGCTCCCTGCTCAGTGGGGAGCCTGCTTCTCCCTCTGCCTGCCGCTCCCCCTGCTTGTGCGCTCTCTCTCTCTCTATCAAATAAATAAAATCTTTAAAAAAAAAAAAAAGAAGAAGAAGAAGAAGGAAAAGGAGCAGCAGCAGAGCAGGGATTTAGCCTAGTCTGTGGTCTCTTCAAATGGCAGTTCTGCTGCTTTCTGACAGAGAACAGAGTGCGAAGGTCAGAGCTGGGAATATGCACAGCGCGTTTTGTGGGTGGTGCATAGACCGGACAGGCTGGGGTGGTGGTGGGCCCTGACAGGGAAAGGAAGGCCACCACAGCCCCTGCTCAGTCCTTTCCAAGATATGGCAAAAGTCCCAGAGGATTGCTTTTGTATTCATTCCTTGTGGCTGCTCTCTTGGCTTGCCTGAGCAAGGGATTAGTTGTTCACCTTCTTGTGGATTTCATTTCTCCTCAGAGTCACAGACTTAGTGGTATGTGGTCCCTTCTTTCTGCTTTTCTGCTTAGCCTTCTCCATGCTGGGGATCTGACCGGTCCTGATTCAGCTGAAGCAGCACTAATGTGAGTTTTGGAAAGTTTCTTTGGGGGCCCAGCACTAGGTCTGTCCCGTTTGCTCTGCCTTTTCTCCGTTCCGCATCCCTTTTTTCTCCAGAGTCAGAACCATATGGCCATGCGTGTTTATGATACGGTTCCCTTTCTAGGGAACATGGTGCCCGCCTTACTGCTTCAGTGAGCTCGTTATCTCTGCAGCCACTTACGTCGAGTGCTTTGTTGCCACTTTGGTCCACAGCCATCTGGGCAGTTCTTGGTATCCAGGAAACAGGGGGACTTTCTCTGGTACCTGGAGGAGGAATTGCAAGTTAGAGGAGTTACTGTAGGACTGAATTCTTGTATAATGTAGGAAAAGAGTTTAATATTGGAAAGAATCTCCGCTCTCCCCTACTGTTCAGTATGGGCGGGTCTGGGCTGCCACCCTTGTGAGGTAGGCTTAGAGAAACGGGTGCAGGGAAGAACCTAAGGGCAAACTTTCCCCAGAAGTCCTCTCTGCAAAACCTCGACGGGTAACCTCTGCCTTTTGTACTTCTCTGGGGGTTGGGAGTAGGAGATGCAGAAAAAGGTGGTTTAAAAACAGAAACCTGGGGCACGTGACAGGCTCAGTTGGAAGAGCATCTGACTCTTGATCTCTGGGTTGTGAGTTGGAGCCCCATGTTGGGTATAGAGATTGCTTAAATAAAACTTAAAAAAAAAATCTATTTAGGGCAATTTATGGCACCAGATAGGGCAATTTATGCCACTAGAAGTCTTATAAAGTTGTACCTTTCTGGCTGTAGCTTCCTGGGGAAGCGAGGGGAGTGGGTAACAGCCAAAGAGGCAAGATGATTCTAGGTTCACCTAGATTCCCTTTCCTCCTATAGTTACATTACTTGATAACTGTTGATTGCTGTGTTTTGCTCCCCTGAACCCCTTTCCTACTTTCTGAAACTCTTGCATCTAGCAAATCTTTCCTGATTGAAGAAGTCAGATTGTTTGGATTTTCACCTGTCTGTAACCCAGTAGTTCTCGGCTGGTGGTGATTTTTGCCCCCAGGAATATTTGGCAAATCTGGAGACATTTTTGATGTCATTCCTGAGGGTGCTACTGGCATCTAGTGGGTGGAATCCGGGGATGCTGCCAAACATCCTCCCTCGCACAGGACAGCCCCCACCCACAACAAATGATCCAGTCCAAAATGCCAGTAGTACTGAAATTAGGAAACTCTGCTATAACTGGTATGTCTCATTTTATCTCTTATCTCTTCCTCTGTCAGAAGCACGCTGAGATAGAAGTTCAAAAATAAACTGGTAAGAGAGAATTCTTGTGCCCTAAGCTGAGCCATGGACTTTATGGTCTCATCATATCTGGCAGAATGCTCATTCCTGGAATGAAATAATAATTCCTTTCTTTTCTTTTAAGATTTTTGTTTATTTATTTGTCAGAGAGAGAGAGCACAAGCAGGGGGAGCGACAGGCAGAGGGAGAAACAGGCTCCCTGCTGAGCAAGGATCCCAGTGCAGGGCTGGATCCCAGGATCCCAGGATCATGACCTGAGCCGAAGGCAGATGCTTAACCAACTGAGCCACCCGGGTGTCCCTACCTCAACCTTTCTGTGCTCAGTTTCCTCATCTTCAAAACAGAGATAACCAACTGAGCCACCTAGGCGTCCCTGAAATAATAATTCTTAAAGTACCTACCTCTTTGGGGTTGTTTTGAAGATTAAATGGTTAGTTCATGCATGTAAAAATATTACAGCAATGCACGGCACACTCAATAAAATAAATGTTTCCAACAAAGCAAAACCCTGCTTTGTCTCTGCTATTGTGGGCACTGTGGTTTTAATGTATTTTATTTAAGATTCTGACAGCTAGGGAGATGCAAGAGAACAAGGTTAGGAATAGCAGATATTCCTCCTTCCTCGGTTCTTATTAATAGCTGGATTTTTCAAGCTTTAAAAATAAAAGTTCCAGGGCTCCTGGCTGGCTCAGTCGGTGGAGCATGCAATTCGTGATCTCAGGCTCATGAGTTCGAGCCCCACATTTGGTGTAAAGATTACTTAAAAATAATAGTAAATAATAAATTATAAAAATAAATTATAAAAATAAAAGTTCCAGCAGCAGCAGCTGTTCTTGTTTTTGTTTTTTTTTTAAAGATTTTATTTATTTGACAGAGAAAGACACAGCAAGAGCAAGAACAAAAGCAGGGGGAGTGGGAGAGGGAGAAGCAGGCTTCCCGCGGAGCAGGGAGCCTGATATGGGGCTCGATCCAGGACCTGGGATCATGACCTGAGCCGAAGGCAGCCGCTTAATGCCTGAGCCACCCAGGCGCCCAACTGTTCTTGTTTTAATTTGAACCTGCTGGGGAAAGTGTCTGTGTCCTGGGTAGTGAGACTGCTTATCATCAAGTGTATCTGCTTATCATTGAGGCTTCTCAGGGTTGGGGGAGTTTTCATGGGCTGGGTAACTGGACTAGATTTTATTTTTACCTTCATTTTCAAGAGCTCTTCACCTCTTATGATTTAGAAGTATAAGGATGCTTTTCCCTATTTTGAAAATGGCAGGAGTCAAAGACCAGAAAAACAAACTGGGGTTGATATGGCTTGAGAACATCAGCTACCTCAACTGCTCTACCTTTGATTTCTCAAGTGCCCAAGGAAGCATAAGAAGTTCGAGATTTATTTACTGCTATTCTTTTTTAAGTTGATAATCAAGGAGATGGTGTAGTAGGAGAAAGGGCACGTTTCTACTTACTGGATATGTATGGAATGCTTAAATTTAGCTAAACATGGGTGGCCTCTCAGCCATTTCCTCATCCATGAAATGAGGACCTGTAAGATTATCTGATCTACCTCCTCTGTGAAGATCGGTGAGAAGAGGTGTGTGAAGCCCTGCTCACATATAAGGTAAATGGAAATAGAAATGCTTCTGCTAGTGTCCCATTCTCCTTCCTCACCAGGAGTCCCGGCCGCTACACATCGTGCTGGGAAATGAAGCCTGTGACTTGGACTCCATGGTGTCAGCTCTTGCCCTGGCTTTTTACCTGGCAAAGGTGAGTACTTAGCAACAGAGTCCCTTAGAATGAAAAGATCTGGATGCAAGTCCCAGCTCTGCTACTTAACACTATTTAGTCTTGGGTCAGTTAAATTCCTTGACTTTGCTGAGTCTCAGGTCACCATCTCTAGAATCTGAAATGATACTATTTTGCAATGTTGCTGGGAGGATCAAATTAGTAGATGTATTTTGAAGAAATTGTAAATCATAAAGCAATATTCAAACTTACTGAGTTCTTCTGGGTACCAGTGGTCTCATGCCCAGGTCAGTTTTTGAGGACTGATAATCCCTTCTCTGCAGCATCTAGAACTAGGTCTTTTCCAATAGTTACCTTGTTGACCTTCATGTTATGCTAAGAAGGAGAGAGGGCAAGAGTTGTCCTTTTTTTTTTTATTTGTTTTGTTTTTTAAAGATTTTATTTATTTATTTGAAGGAGAGAGACACAGCGAGAGAGGGAACACAAGCAGGGGTAGTGGGAGAGGGAGAAGCAGGCTCCCCGCCGAGCAGGGAGCCCAGTGAGGGGCTCGATCCCAGGACCTGGGATCATGACCTGAGCCGAAGGCAGACGCTTAACGCCTGAGCCACCCAGGCGTCCTGGTCCTTTTATTTTTTTATCAACTGGGTAATTATGGCTTTGAGAAAGTCAGTGACTTACCCAAGATCACATCTCCTTTAGTCCCAATAATTTTGTTATTTTTCCTGTTTATTCCAAAACATTGCCATGTGTTCTTTTCACTTTCCTTATCCAGACGACAGAGGCTGAGGAAGTCTTTGTGCCAGTCTTAAATATAAATCGTTCTGAGCTACCTCTACGAGGTGACAATGTTTTCTTCCTTCAGAAGATTAACATTCCAGAGTCCCTCTTGATTTTCCGGGATGAGATTGACCTCCATGCCTTGCACCAGGCTGGCCAACTCACTCTTATCCTTGTTGACCATCATGTCTTACCCAAGTAAGTAGAAGGAAGTTAAGCCGATATTTATCATGTGCCATGTTGAGTTCTGATGATTAAGAAATAAAGAGAGGAAGAAAGAATTTCTGCTCTCGGGATCTCACAGGCTAATTGTAATTGCTGGGTCATATCAGATATAGAAAATCAACAGAAAATATTGTCAGTTCTCCAGTTATGCAAGTAACAAAAAGAAATAGAAACATGGAGAGGTGAAACTAAAGGAGAACTCAGAAATCATTTAAAGCTGCCTTTGGCATCACTATTTTGTGGCAGATTTATTGTAATAGAAGCTTTTGAATAATGGTTACAACTCTATTTTTAATTTTTAAAAAGCAAAATTATTTCCTACATAAGGCAATATCTCATTAGTTGCATTGTGATGGGTGTTGGAGGTGTGTGATAACCGACACTCTAGAGGACAAGAGGTGCACGAAGGATGGGGTAGTTAAATACAGTCAAGGGGAGTAGAGGGCGTGAGGAAAGGTTTCCTAAGAGAGTTGACCCTTGATCTCACTCTTGAGTGTTTGCTCCTGGAGTGGGGAGGCAAGATAGTTAGGAAAAGCATCCAGGCAGAGAAAGGAATTAATATAAGCAAAGGCAGACAGGCATGAAATAGCATGGTAAATTGGCAGAATTGGAATTTGTTTTGCATGGCTGGAGCATAAAATGTGACAGAGAAGTAGGACAGAGGAAGAGGTGAGACTAGGGAGGTCAGTGGGGGCCAGATTGTAGGCCCTGCCAAGGAGACAAGACTTGGTGTTAGGGTAGTGGGGAACTATTGGGAGTTATATTTATTCCAGATCCTAACAAAATCAAATCTGCATTTTTCAAATGATCATTCAGCAGCTTTGTGGAGGACAGCACAGGGGGGCCCCAAGATCAGGGGTCAGTCTTTGGTTAGGAAACTGTTGGAATAATCCAGATGAGAGATACTGAGGGCCTAGAATAAGGCAGTAGCAGAGCCATGGTGGTGGTGGGGGGCGTGTAGAAAAGATAGAAGCCATGGAATCTGATGAACTGTGTGGAATTTGGGTATTAAGTGGATTGAGATGACAGGAGAGATTTAGATGTTGGATGCCAAGGGTGTCAATCCGAAAGGCAACTCCCAAGGACATCAAATACTTGTAGATACTTGTAGCTGATACTTCACCAAATTCACTTATACACTATTTAAAGATGACTTCAGTTACAACATGTAGGAAAAGACTTGAGAACAGGGAGGCAGAGGTAGAAGTGACCAAAGTTCTGAATGTTTGCCTAAGATGTGCATTTTCCTTCATGGGTGAGGTGGAGATTTGGTTAGAACTGGCTGGAGTGCCCCTACCCATCTTTCCTTCTCTTTGCCCTACCCCCCGCTTCTGCACACAGAGGTGACGCAGCCCTAGAGGAGGCGGTAGCCGAGGTGCTAGACCATCGGCCCATCGAGCAGAGGCACTGCCCTCCCTGCCCCATGTCCGTGGAGCTGGTGGGGTCCTGTGCTACCCTGGTGACCGAGAGAATCCTGCAGGGGGCACCAGAGATCTTGGACAGGCAGACTGCAGCCCTTCTGCACGGTGAGGGTGGCTTTCGGGTCGGGAGAGGGGAAAAGTCTCTTGTTTTTTTTTAAGTCTAGATCCTCATTCTTTTTTCTTTTTTTTAAGATTTTATTTATTTATTTGTCAGAGAGAGCACAAGCAGGGGGAGTGGGAGAGGGGGAAGCGATGTGAGACTTGATCCCAGGACCCCGGGATCATGACCTGAGCTGAAGGCAGATGCTTAACGACTGAGCCACAGAGTTTTCCCGAGAATGGAAAAGTCTAGACTTCCAGCTTGATCATACCCTCTCCAAGCTATCCCGTCCATTTCAAAGGCTGGGTCCTTTCAGGGGACAATTAGACATTAAAAGGCTGTGGTGAGGGGCGCCTGGGTGGCTCAGTCGGTTAAGCATCTGCCTTCGACTCAGGTAGTGATCTCAGAGTCCTGGGATCAAGCCCCGCGTTGGGCTCCCTGCTCAGCGACAGCCTGCTTCTCCCTCTGCCTGTCACTCTGCCTACTTGTGTTCTCTCTCTCTCTGTCAAATAAATAATTAAAATCTTAAAAAAAAAAAAAAAGGCTGTGGTGAAAGCAGAAAGGAAGCACGGGACCACAGACCTAGAGGCTGCCTACTGCAGCATTGTATGATGGAAAGAGAACCAGCCACAGAAGCAGGGAATGGATTCTAATACCATTCCTGTCCAGGAGGTTGTTATGTGACCTTGAGCAAGTTTCTTCACCTTTCTTGTTCTCATTTTTTCCATTTGTAAAAAAAAAAAAGAGAGAGAGAGAGAATTGGATTAGACTATCTCTTCTGACTTCTAAGTTTCTTTAATGGAATTTGGCCTACAGAAGGGAGGTCATCTCTCTCTAACTTGGTTTCAAGATCTCTGATGATTGGGGTGCTCAGGCACCCTTTCTGCCTTTTCCCCATTTTCCTGCCTACATTTTAATTTGGATTGGGGAAGTCTTACTCAAGACATAGTCCCAGTTTCTTGTTTTGTTTTCAGTGAGTTTGCCACACGGTCTTCTCTATTATGTCCATCTGGTTTGAGGGTTATGTGTGTTCTAGTGGTCGCGAATGGAAGGCCATAGGATTTGAGTTTTGTCTCGTCTCCACAGGAACAATCATCCTGGATTGTGTCAACATGGACCTGAAAGTTGGAAAGGCAACCCCAAAAGACAGCAAATATGTGGAGAAACTGGAGGCCCTCTTCCCAGATCTGCCCAAGAGGAATGACATCTTTGACTCTCTACAAAAGGCAAAGTTTGATATATCAGGTATGAAACAGTAAACTGACTTCTCTCCCTTCCACGTGAGAAAACAGATGGGCGAGACTTGTTCATTGTATTCTTTTTTTCTTTTTTTAGAGAGAGAGTAGAGAGTGCGCAGACTTGGGGGTGGGGGCACAGAGGGAGAGAAAAAAGTCCTAAGCAGGCTCCACGCTTAGCATGGTCTCATGACCCTGAGATCAAGACCTAAGCTAGAATCAAGAGTCTGCTGCTTAACCAACTGAGCCACCTGGGTGCCCTGATTGTTCATTGTATTCTTGAACACCATTGAAACAATTTCAGAGCATGCATAATGATTTAAGCTTTACAACAGAGAGAACCAAGGTAGTATGTGAGTCTGATCATGAACTTATCAATCATTTACTGGATTGTTCTATCCTGGCTGTTGGGTAGGAAGAGGAGGAATATATGAGTTTCAGGTTTCTGGTCTAATCAGAGAATATAGGTATATAAGTAAAATCTGCTGAAGGAATACTAAATTATCTGAGTGAGATCTACATGATTGTTTAGGGAAGCAGGAGAAACATTGAGGGTGAATATACAAAGGACAAAGGAGGAGAACAAAAATAACTTCCATAATTTTTTACCCAGATACCACCTGTTGACATAAAAAAAGGAAAGTACCACATGAACTTGTAGAAAGTTAAAACTATGCAGAAAGGGGAAACAGCAACTATTGTGACTCAGTTATTTAAAATAATTTTTTCTTATGTAGTTACATTCTTGGTTATCTCCCCTATTCATTGCCCCTCAAAGAGAGGCTGTGTTTTTCCTCATCCTTGACCTGTCTTGGTGTCCTCACCTTCCTGGTCTGGGGACCTTGGGCTCTCTTATTTGACCCCTGGTCTCAAATCCATTGTCTAGGACTGACCACTGAGCAGATGCTGAGAAAGGATCAGAAGACCATCTCCAGACAAGACACCAAGGTGGCCATTAGTGCAATATATATGGATTTGGAGGTAAGAGCAAAGTGTAGGTATGGGTGGGAGAGAAAGCCCTCAGTTACGTGCGTAACCTTGCTCCTCACTCCTGGCTCCCCTCCATAATATGTCTTGTACCTGTGTGCCTTCTGTCATGTCTGCTGGCACTCCCACAGTCCATGACCTCTCACCGCACCACTGTGATAGGCTGCATACTGGTTTCCCTACTTCTTCTTTTGCACCCTACAAACCACTCTCCCCACAACGGCCAGAGTGATCTCTTTATAAGATGTAGGTCTGAAAAAAACAAACACAAAACAAAAAAGATGTAAGTTGATCACATCAGCCTTCTCCCTCTGCTGCCTTTTCATTGCATTCCTTTTTTTTTTTTTTAAGATTTTTATTTATTTGTTTGTTTGTTTGTTTATTTGACAGAGAGAGAGCACACAATCAGGGGGAGTGGCAGGCAGAGAGAGAGGGAGAAGCAGGCTCTCCGCTGAGCAGGGAGACCGACACAGGGCTCCATCCCAGGACCCTGGAATCATGACCTGAGCTGAAGGCAGATGCTTAACTGACTGAGCCACCCAGGTGTCCCTCTTTGCATTCCTAATAGAATTTAAAGGCCCTGCTGTGGTTTACAGGGCCCTCCTTGATCTGGCCCTCGCCTCTCTCTCTCTGACCTCATCTCCTTCCAGCCCCACTCCTGCACTCACACTGCTGTAGCCACACTAATTTTCTTTCTGTTCATTGGAACCATTAAGCTCATTCACACCTCAGGGCCTTTGCAGTGGCTTTTGCCTTTGCAGAGCTGGCTCTTATCACTCAGGTCTTAATTCAGATGTCTCCTCTTTTAAGAGGTTTTTCCTCACCACTGTAATTGACATAATATTCTCTGTGCTCAAAAATCTAACAGTTTTTGAATTTTGTTCGTAGCACTTAATGGACTGAACTAATCAATTTCATGGTTTCCTTGCTTATTGTCCATATTCCTCTGGTAGTTTATCAGCTCCACCAGAGGTAGGACCCTGTTTCTTTTGTTTCTGCTGTATCTCTAGCACCTTTGCAGTACGTGGCAATTGTGGGTACTCAGTAAATTTTGTTGACTGGGTGACTGAATATAACTTTGACAATGGTATTTCACTACCTGGTTCCATGTCATATTGATTTACATCATTTGACAACCTGATCTGAACACATTTCCTCATAGTCTGTACAGCTTTCTACTAAATACTAAGTAATTTCAAGAAAACAAAAGAGCCTGGTCTTTCCCCTTGCTGCCTCATTTGAGAAACAAACATAAGAACAGAGAAGGCTTGCCAAGTAGCATACATTGACACAGTACAAATCGACACATTAGAAATGCCAGGGAGGGCGCCTGGGTGGCTCAGTTGGTTGGGCGACTGCCTTCGGCTCAGGTCATGATCCTGGAGTCCCGGGATCGAGTCCCGCATCAGGCTCCCTGCTCGGCGGGGAGTCTGCTTCTCCCTCTGACCCTCCCCCCTCTCATGTGCTCTCTGTCTCTCTCATTCTCTCTGTCTCAGATAAATAAATAAAATCTTTTAAAAAAATTAAAAAAAAAAAAGAAATGCCAGGGATAGAGCAAAGCCCTGACCTGAAATAGCTGGCAGTATCATCCAGTAGAAAAAATACTACCTGAGACTGGAGAAGATGAGTTTGGCAAAGAACGAAGGGCCACGGGTGCAGGCATCCCGTGTCTGTTGTTATTGGTATGCCCCATTTTTCTGTTTTAGAATAAAAATAGCTCCGAGGCAAAGGCCTTGCTTGTTTGATGGCAAGAACAGGAGAGCCTTGTATGTGCCAGGCATGTTCCTTACATGATCATGCTTTAAGTTTTAAAACAATCACTTTTGGGGCACCTGGGTGGCTCAGTCGTTGAGAGTCTGCCTTCGGCTCAGGTCATGATCCCGGGGTCCTGGGATTGAGCCCTGCATCATGCTCTCTGCTCAGCGGGAAGCCTGCTTCTCCCTCTCCCACTCCCCCTGCTTGTGTTCCTGCTCTCGCTCTCTCTCTCTCTGTCAAATAAATAAAATCTTAAAAAAAAAAAAAATCACTTTTGATAAAGGTTCTAGCCTCCTTTTACAAATGAAGAAACTCAAGTCCGAGGAGCTTACTATACAACTCCCTGATTATATAGCTAATAGGTCATAGAGCTGATTTTCAAACCAGTTCTCTCTGAATCTAAAACCTATATTCTCCCCGTTCTACCTGCTGCTTCCCAGCACATAAATAACACAGAGTCAATATGAGATACTGTTCTTATGGAGTATAAGCTCCAGGTTAACATGGAAAGAAACCCTTCGTGAGCATGTTTTGTTGCTGGTGACAAAGAGGGTCCGGCTGAAGCTCTTACCACTGCCCTGTTTCTTCTCTTTCAGGCCTTTCTGCAGAGGTCTGGCCTCATTGCAGATCTCCATGCTTTCTGCCAGTCTCACAACTGTGATGTCCTGGTCACCATGACTATCTTTTTCAACACTCACAATGAGCCAGTGCGGCAGCTGGCTATTTTCTGTCCCCATGCAGCACTCCGAATGACGGTGAGTCTGTCCCTTCTGCAGCCTGAAGTCCCTACGGAGCTCTGCTTGTACGCACCACCCTGTGCTGTACAGACCTGTCCTTGGGGAGCACCGGGTGACTCAGTCTGTTGAGTATATTGTCTGACTCTTGATTTCTGCTCAGGTCATGATCTTATGGGTTGTGGGATGGAGGCCCACATCGGGCTCAGTGATTCTCGAGATTCTCCCCCCTCTGCCCACCCCCTTGCGTGGGCACACACTTGTGCGCATGTGTGCACGAGCTCTCTCTTTCTCAAATAAATAAATCTTTAAAAAAAAAAAAAGACCTGTCCTTGGTTCTTGTATTTTTTTTTAAAGATTTTATTTATTCATTTGAGGGAGAGACAGAGAGACCACAAGCAGGGGGAGAGGCAGAAGAAGAGGGAGAAGCAGACTCCCTGCTGAGCAGGAAGCCCAACATGGGACTCGATCCCAGGACCTGGAGATCAGGACCCGAGCCAAACGCAGATGCTCAACCATCTGAGCCACCCAGGCACCCCTTGGTTCTTGTATTTACACAGACGTCCCTTGACCTATTTCTCGAATCTTCCCTCCTCGCTTTTCCCCATTCTCTCTACATGTGAATATCCTTAATCATACTGTTGTTGAGAAAGAAAGATTCCAAAGACAATTAGAGACACAGTTCCTGTTTGAAGGAACTTGAAGTCAGATTAAAAAGCAGTGTCATAAATCTGGAGTTAAAACTCAATTCTTGGTCTAATCATTAATTCCTCATCCCTGAAAACCAGTTCCTTTCTTTTTACCCTATTGCCTTGAAAATGGGAAACACCAGAGATGCCTTTTCTACTACTTACCCATGCAGGGATGAATTACTCTATCTACTGCTAACTCTGTAGAGAAGAAATCCAAGAGCAGGTTTGTTTTCTTTCCTGATCTGTTTGGCCACTTTTCCCACTACTTCCCCTTTCTTTTCCTCTGTTGGTTACTGATTAGCCCAGGGAAGAATTTAAAAGTGGGCTTAAGACAGTCCAGGGGGCACCTGGGTGGCTCAGTCGTTAAATGTCTGCCTTCGGCTCAGGTCATGATCCCAGGGTCCTGGGATCGAGCCCCGCATTGGGCTCCCTGCTCTGCGGGAAGCCTGCTTCTCCCTCTCCCACTCGCCCGGCTTGTGTTCCCTCTCTCACTGTCTCTCTCTGTCGCAAATAAATAAATAAAATCTTAAAAAAAAAAGACAGTCCAGGAATGTTTGGGATTTCTTGGGCAGTGTGAGGACTACCAAAGACTGGTTTGCATACAGTCAGATAATCTTTTGATTCCAAAGAAGGTTATGTCACCCTTTCCTTTTCTGGAAGCAAATGTAATTTCATTTAGTGGAAGGTAGTTTGGCACTGTGGAAGGAACTACAGTTTTATTTATTTATTTGACACAGAGAGAGAGAGCGCACAACCAGGGGGAGTGGCAGGCAGATGGAGAGGGAGAAACACTCCCTGCTGAAAGGGAGCCCAATTCTGGGCTTGATCCCAGGGTCCCGGGATCATGACCTGAGCTGAAGGCAGATGCTTAACCAACTGAGCCACCCAGGTGCCCCAAGAACTACAGTTTTAAAAGGCAGAAGGACATGTTTTCTCTCCCAGATTTGCCACTTACCTGCTCCTTGAGCTCAGGCAAGTCAGTTGACTTCTGAGTCTGTACATGGCATAATATCACCCACTGATTAGTCTGATGTGATCATTAAACACAAGATCTTATGTAAAGCACATTGCAGGGCACAAAGTAAGCAGGCAGCAAACAGTGGCTCTTACTAATCATGTCATGAAGGCAAGGGTGCTTTGGCCATAGGAAGTGCCTCTCCCACCTTCTGAAATGTCCCTGCCTTCTCCCCACCACACCCCCTCTGTGCTGTCCTCTGAAGCTGTGCAGATACCTGAAGATTCCCCACTGCACCCCTCTTCTCAGTGTGCCCTCCCTTCTCCTCTCCCTCCTATGGTAGAAATTATATAAAAGAGTGATTTAGAACACTGGCTTTGGTGGTGGACCTGGGTTCAAGTGTCAGCTTTGCTTCGTTTAAACTATGACCTCAGGCAATTACTTAATCCATCTGAGCCTCTGTCTCCCTACCTGTAAATGAGGGTAATACCAGTACCCTCTGAGAGGTTCAGCCTCTCCCATCATCTACGGGATTTTGCTCTCAGATACTTAAGCTCTTCAGGCTTGGGTTTACTTATCAATAAAACGAAATATATGATCTCAAATGTTTCTTCTGTTTCCAAATACTATGTGTATTAGCTAATGTGCTTTTTTCTGAAGCAATAATATTGAACTCTGGATGATTTAATTTAAAAAAAAAATGTTTCTCTGTAAGAGAAGTCTCTATCTTAGAAACCGCAGCTGTTTGCTTCCCCACCTCATGTACCATCTCCCCATCTTGTCTCCTCTTTAGATCTGTGGAGTGCTGGAACACTCCCACTCTCCATCCCTGAAGCTAACCCCTGCCCCAAGCACCCACCCTCACCTCCAAGCCTATCTTCAGGGCAACACCCAGGTCTCTCGGAAGAAACTTCTGCCTCTGCTCCAGGAGGCCCTGTCAGCGTATTTTGACTCCATGAAGATCCCTTCAGGGCAGCGTGAGACAGAGGGTGTGTGCAGGGAGCAGGCAGACAAGGAATTGGACAGGGCAGGTAACTCCCTGGTTCCTGGACTGAGCCAAGATGAGGAGGAGCCCCCACTGCCCCCCACACCCATGAACAGCTTGGTGGATGAGTGCCCTCTGGATCAGGGGCTGCCTAAACTCTCAGCCGAGGTCATCTTTGAGAAGTGCAGTCAGATCTCGCAGTCACAGTCGACCGCTGCCTCCCTGTCTAAGAAGTGACTGCTGGGAGGGGACACGATGGTGAGAGAGGTTGCTTGAACCACTTCAAATGCATGTTTTGAGATGTGTCGGCGGTTCCGTCTTCATGGCTCCGGGATCTGGTGTACTGTGTTCATGAACCGGGAAGAAGAAAGAAGTGAAAGAAAAGAGCTGCTCTGGGGATGGCTTCCTGCCTTTTCCGCAGATCTCTACCCATCAGACAAATCGTATTATTTAATTTAAATCTTCGAATCTGCGCTGACTCTCCTGTATTTCCCTAGCCAGGGGCACAGTATGATACTGCACAGTTCCAGCAGAGTGGCACAAGAAGGTGTACCCTCAGTAAGGCTCTGTGACAGAACCAGTATCTCTCATGGAACCAAACATCCGTTGTCTCCGTGTATTCATTTATCCTCTTCTTCATTCAGCTAGATAGAAAATAGAGTGTGCTTTGCAAACTCCTATTCGTTTTCAGCCTTTAGCAGAATCCAGCTCCATGATTCCTCTCTCTGTCCCCAGTTAGGTGACGGTAGCCGAGGCTGAGGTAGCTACATTTGTATTCTGAGCTGATTATGACTCTTTTAAGATCGGTGGGGAGCAGCTAAAAGACCATTATCTTCCGTCCTGGTCAACCGGCCTGGCTCTCAGTTTCTTTGGATCCCTCGGTCCCAGAGCCACAGGGACCCCAGAAAGACCCAGAAGACCCCTGGTGCTTGAGAGTTTGGGCGACACCCAGGAAAGCCTTAAGACCACATAGGTACTCTTCCCAAAAGACAGAAGAACTGCAGTGAGAGCCCGGCTCTGGGCCCTGCCTTAGCGGCCCGGCAATTTCTCTTCCATCCTGTTCTCTTCTTGCTCACGTTGAAAGAAAGTATGGAGTTCTAATACCGACTGCTGTGAACTGTGGGTCTCTTGGTAAGACACTTCACTTCTCTAGGCTTCATTCGCCCCGTCTGTAAAACTAAGGATCTGGACTGGATGTTCTCTGGTATTCTGTGATCTGCCTCTTGGTGCCATTGCTTCTCTCCCTGCTTCTCTGTATTGGTTTGTTTGTTTCTGTTCTCCCTGGGAATGCTCAGGGTGGCTGAACTGTCTGTATTTATATGTGATTGTACCAAGGGACTCAGTTTCACGTAGCATGTACAGCGGTATGATTCATACCATAGTGACCCAGCAGAGAACTCCCCCATCGACTTGTTCTGCATGTGTAGAGTCTCCCTTTTCCCTTCAGACCAACCTGTTCGCCTTTTTCCTGCCCCACAGCCCAGCTTCATGTAAGTTGCCCACGGTTCCACTGAATGGTGGGGTGCGTGAAACAGTTTTGGCATGATGTCTTCAGTATGAGGGGGATGGTGTGACTTCATTTTGAGGGGATGATGTCTGTAGCCGTTGGAAGGTAAAAATAGTGGTGTGATTTTGAACCAAAGGAATTTATGTTTTGTAACTTGGGTACTTTATTTTGCATTTTGTTAAAGTATTAAATACATTTTTTTTCCTGTTTGGGGCCTTATTGTCTCTTCTTACCTCTGATAATGGTTTCAGCCTCCTCAAGATTCATCTCCCTTCTTCCTGCTGTATGGAATGTCTCCATTAACTTTTTTTTGGGAATGAAGAACAACAGTCTTCCATCTCTCCTTATCCTTGGCCGTTCATCTGTTTCTTCTTCCAGAACCCTCTTAATAACGGCGTTCCCAATCTTGCTTATGCTCAAAAAGCATAGTCTTAAAACCAAAATGTTTTTTACCATTTCCTTTTTTTTTTTTTTCTCTTTCTTTTTTTTTTTTTTTTAAAGAGCAGCTTCCAGAAGTTATAAGGAGTCTGGAAGGGAAAACAAACTGCCTTCCTCGACTCCCCCAAGACTAGCCACTTTAGAAAATGTCCTCTCTTCCCTAAAACCCGCCCCCACATAGGCAGGGTTTTTCTTTTGGGCAAACCTGCTGCTTGGGAAGGGAAAGGAAGGGAGGTGGCAAAACCTGTTTGAAGGTGAGGTTACCTCCCTTCCATACTTCCCTCCCCCTTGGAGGCGAGAGCAACAACAGTGAGACAGAGAAAAAGAACACAGAAGTGCTGGGGACCTGGGACAACCAGCTCCCAGAAAGCTGCAAGTGTTTAAGGGAGACAGGAAGACGTGTGAAGATGGGAACCACGCAAGAAGCGGGAGAAAAGACGTTAGACCTTGGGTAAGTAAGATCTGGCTCGCTTGATTGGAAATAAGCAACGAATAGTCTTGAGGGACTTTCCCACCGTCCAGCTCTGACCAGGGCAAATCTTGGCTTCCTGGAAGAGACGTGACTGCAAGAGAATGAATTTGCAGAGAAGGGGTAGGGTGGCTCTAGGTAGGAAATGGGGAACTGGGGGTTTCAGGATAAATCCCTATCGTTTTGTTTTTAAAGGAAGCTTCTCTGTTTTGTGTCAACTGTGCCTGTTGTCTGTTTTCTAACACCCACTCCCCAGAATGGCCCTCTGGAAAGCTGACCTAGAAAGAAATTTAGGTGCAGGTACTCCTTCCCAGCAAATCTGTCTCCCTCCTTACCTTCTTCCCCCACCCCTCCACCTCTGCCATGGTTTTCCCTCACCACTCCCCAGTGTAGTGGAGGAAAGGCAGGCCTGACAAGGTGCCATCTTCCCCAACTCTGCCTGGTGACAGCTGGGCAGGTCTGTCAGGTTCCAGCCAGGTGTAATGTGGACTAGCCCTACCCACTCTGTAGGCGGAGCGACGCCACAGAGGTAGATACGATTAGCTGGACATTGCATCTTCCCTCTGCTCCTAAGCCCCACAGGAGGGTTCATCTGTCTCCAGGAAGTGGTGGATGTGGTAGAAGTATCTGTCCCGGAGACAAGCTCTGACGTCTTTTCCAGTGTCTCCTACATACAGCCCAGTTCCCTTAAGACACTGCCTAGTTGGTCTCACGATCACCCCCTCCCCCTGGGGACTCTTAGGGCCAGGGAGAATGCTGAAGCAGTGGGGCCAGCCGCATCCCTGAGACTTGGGGGACTGGAGCTGAAGGAGGAATGGCAGGACGAAGAATTCCCCAGGTGAGGACTGTGAGGGATGCTCATGAATGGCGGACCGGAAGGATGAATTAGGACTTGAAGGAAGGAGGGGTTCAAAGAAGGCAGAGGGGATAAGATAAAATCATTGCGGGGTGGTTGCTGGGTAGCTCAGTCAGTTAAGCCTCTGACTCTTGGTTTCAGTTGATTCCATGATCTCAGAGTCTTGGAATCAAGCCCCGCCTTGGGCTCTGCACTCAGCAGGGAGTCTGCTTCCCCTCTCCCTCTCCCTCTGTGCCTCCTCCCCCAGTCCCTCAGCCCTGGCTCGTGTACTCTCTCTCTCTCTCTCTCTCTCAAATAAATAAGTCTTAAAAAAAAAGAATTGTGCCTTGGTGAGAGGATTGATAAACTGATACCTGGCTTGATTCGTTTCACCTGCATTTCTGCCCCTTTGTAATCTTTCCCCTCTAGGTTTCTTCCTGAAGAAGTGGACCCTTCTGAAGATCCTGACGATCCTGAGAGAGACTCACAGACAGGTAGGCCTCAAGTTCTTGATTCTAGGCCAGTGAAGGGCTGTGCCGCCCTCATCCGTTTGTGGTTCCCCTGCTCTTTCCTCAAATATCCCCTGTGTAAGTTCTTTAGAATTCACCCCATATATCACTACCATATGCAGGAATTCCAGCCTCCCCTGCCAACACACACATAGTTTTCTATTCTTTTCTCCTCTCTCCTGACCCCAGGTACTCCCAGCACTTTAGCTTTGTGTGGCCTACGTCCCATGCGTAAGCGTCTTTCTGCCCCAGAGCTGCGACTGAATCTGACTAAGGGGACTGGAGGCGACGGAACTTCTCCCACGTGCTCCGAACCTTCCTCTCCTGATGGCAGTTCTGACCTGGACGTAGATGAAGTGGAGACCCCATCAGACTCGGAGCAGCTGGACAGTGGGCATGAATTTGAATGGGAAGGTGGGAAAGAGACCTGAGGCCTGAGCCAGTACAAGTGGAAGCTAGAGTTAAAGCTCAGGGTGGATTTAATGGGACGAAAGTCAGAAACAATAAGGTGGGGGCCAAGTGGTAAGGTCAGCAAAATTAATTTCCTCAGAACGGAAAGGTAGAGTCTGTAGATCCAATGTGAGAGTAGTCAGTAGAGGGGTGGGGAGGGTCCTTTGTTTAGGAAGCTTTTATTGAGTGACGGTTACATGCTATTACTGGGCGAGAACAGAGTTCTAAGGGTAAGTAAGATCCGTCCTACCCTCAGGGAGTTCTCTGTTTAATAAGAAATTAACACATATACAAATAAGTGTAGTTGAAGATTATGGTCTACATATGTGTAGGGGACGGTCAGCAGGGATATGGACAAGGTCAGTTCTGCCTGAGAGGCATTAGCAAAGACTTCACAGAAGAGGTGATTCTGAGCTGGTCTTTATCAGGTAGCTGGGGAGGCATTCTAGGTAGAAGAAACAACTTGGGTAGGAACAGGGCATGTTGGACATGTTGGGGAATTCAAAGTATTAAGTATTATGATATTAAGGAAAACTCTGTTTCTTCTCTACTCACGACACTTCCGACACCAAATGTATGGATTTTACCCACACCAACCACTTCTCCACTTTTCCAGACATCAACAGGGCATCCTAGAGTTCACCTGTGGTGCTTGACAGGAGTTAGGACAGACCCCACAGGTTAAGGGCTCACCCACAAAATTGCCCTCGACTTCAGACACAAATCACATGTCCAAGTTGTCACCTGAACTTCTGAATCAGAGTGCTGTGTTAAGTTGGCAGGAGTCAAATCATGGAGGTCCTTGCTTCCACACTGAGGAGTTAAGATTTTATCCTGTAGGCAATGAGAAATCACTGAGTGGTTTTAATCAAGGGAGTAACATGATCAGATTTAATGGATCTAAAGAGGTTGGAAACAACTTAAGGTCCGTCAGTAGAGTATTGATTCTAATATGGTGCATCCATGCAATGGAATACTAAATACTAGGCAAGCTTTTTTTTTTTTTTTTAAGATTTTTTTTTTTTATTTTTATTTATTTGAGAGAGCGAGAATGAGAGAGAGAGAGAGAGAGCATGAGAGGGGGGAGGGTTAGAGGGAGAAGCAGACTCCCTGCTGAGCAGGGAGCCTGATGCGGGACTCGATCCCGGGACTCCAGGATCATGACCTGAGCCGAAGGCAGTCGCTTAACCAACTGAGCCACCCAGGCGCCCCAAGATTTTTATTTTTTAAGTAATCTCTACACCCAACATGGGGCTCAAACTCACAACCCCACCATCAAGGGTCAGTGTCGCACACGCCACCAACTGAGCCAGCCAGGTGCCCCTAGACAACCATTTTTTAAGATGAGGCAGCTGTTTCCATTGCTATGGAAGGATCATGCAGAATTAGTGGGTATAGTATATTGCCATTTGAGTAGGAAAGCTAGGGTAGAAAACAAAGCTTGCTCAAGCTGTGGGGTAGAGTGTGGAATGGAGTAAACAGACTAGAGACAGGGAAACCAGTTAGGTGGCTAGCACTAAGTCCAGGTGAGAAATGCTAAGAACCTGAATCAGGACAGTAGTAGTGGAAAGAATGATAAGAGAATATAATGGAGACATATGGAAGAAGATTTGGGGTCCAGTTGGCTTGAGGGCTGACAGAAGAAAATCTTTGATACCAGTTTTCTCTCTCAGCCAGCTAGATGGATGGAGTCATTCATCCAGAAAGGAAATATGGGAGAGAGGAGGAAGAGAATGAGTTCGAATTACACTTGGGTCTGGTGGCTTGGAGATGACAGAAAGACACAAACTAAAGATGTCCACTCTAAGCATTTAGGGACATGGGTTAGAGGGGCAAATTTGGAATCATCACCTTACCGGTAGTTATTGAAGACATGGGAGCAGATGAGCTCACCCAAGGAAAGGCGTGGAAAGAAAGAATCTAGAAAAAAACTAATACTGGCAAGGGCCATGGACCTACCATAGTGCAGGGTTACCTCAGGGCCAGTGTCTAGTGAAAAAGTGAGGATTGTGAGTCATAGGAAAGAGAAACCAGCAAGGCACTGGATTAATTGGACAAACTAGGGCTAGAGTCCTAGAAAAAAAAACTGAGGAATGAGCGGTTAGAGCAATAACTCTAGGAACCTGGGGAAGGTAGAAGATACTGAAGGCGTGTACCGTGCCTTATCGAGCCTTCCCCATCCCTCTCTTTCAGATGACCTGCCCCGGGCAGAGGGTCTGGGGGCCAGTGAGGCAGCAGAAAGGCTGGGCCGGGGTTGTGTGTGGGATGTGGTTGGAGAAGACGGCCGTCACTGGAGGGTGTTCCGGACAGGACAGCGGGAGCAGCGAGTGGACATGACTGTCATTGAGCTCTACAAGAAAGCCCTCTCTCATGGTGGTAATGGCTCGCATACGTGGAGGGGGAAGAACTGTGACTTCTTGAATCAAATGCCGAAGTGGGAAACTCAGTTCCTGGCTTCAAAATCCTTTCTGTAACTTCCAGAGATCCTCGGAGTCCCTCAGC